AGGTACTCAAGACGCGGCGAAGTGTATGAAAATATTTTTGTAAACGATAAAAGATATACGACAATGACGTCAGAATTGAAATTTATTGAACTTTGTTTATTTAAAACTCTAATTTAGATCCAGATTCATCGAGGTTTCAGCAACATTTCAACTGGCGTTTCTATAAAATTCTAGCGACCAGGGCAAAGTAGATCATTTAAGCACTAAAAATTAAATTAATTCAATATTTATACATGATATTCAATGTTTTCATTTGTTAAAATTGGATTTAAAATTTATTTTTTTCTCCCCTCCAGAGTACTGATCAATTTTGATATCATCTTAAAAATTTAATAATCTTTTATGGAACGTAGCATTGTTAAATAAAAATAAACATCAATATATTTTTGGATGAACGCGTTTATTTTTCTTTCGGATGAATTTAATAACCGAACAGAAAAATATGAATTATGAGATTTGGTCTAAATTTACTTCAAAAATTGCAGATTATTTACTTTTTATATCATGTTTTTTACTATTTAATCACACATTAATTAATATTCAATTATTCGGGGAGAGAATACTCGGTGATGCATTAATAAATTTAATATTAATTATTTAAAACTAAGCAGTCTTGGAAAACAAAAACAAAATATGGACCATTATTTGAAGTGAATTTTTTCAGTCTTCCTTCAATGAAATTTGCTTTATTATTTCTTTCTTTCTCGATTGACTTGATTTGTGAAGAACAAAAAATATTAATAACTAATAAAAGAAATCTTTTCCCCTTTTTTTGCGCATTTATTATAAGAAGAAATCATAAATATTTGCAAATAAATAAAATTATTCATTGTAAAATATGTCGCAGAGCTTCAGCCAAATAAATTGAGATTGAAAAGTGGCTTTACCTCTGGCGAAAAAAAAATCACGCAAAACATTTCACATATTTCGGCCGAGCACATTATTTAATATGGCAAAATCAAAGCGGCAGGGGATAAAAAAAGGGGCCGCCGCGAGTGATGGCAATTTTCGGCGCTCACAAAAAATATTTTTCATAATATGAAACAAGCCGTGTGTCTCTGTTCGTGGAATGTGCATGATAATTTTTGATCGTGGAATGCGCGCTCGCAGCCAGGTAAAATTCCTTCTTTGCCAAAAGGTGGATCGCGTTTTAATAAAAATATGCGGCCTGTTTTAATAATCCGCGAGAGGGAGAGAGACGGAGAGCTGAGGAAAAAGCACAGAGAAGCCTAGCCATTGGAGTGATATTATAAAATATTTCAGGTCATTGTGGTTGCAAAGCTCCTATGCCAGAGTTAATGAATAAAACCGACACCGCGCTGCCAATCATCCCTCTCTTTACCGAGCCGGAATGCCTGCCGACAAAGAATTCCGCCGGTATTCGAGGGAGAGAGTGGAAAACGACTGGGCCCGATTTTTTCGGCGTTTTGTAATAATTAAAAATGATAAATGTAAAAGAACGAATATTGTCGCAACTGGAGACAAGCATGATTATTAATTTGTTACAAAAAAATCGAAATCATTCAGACTAGAATCTTGACAGATTGAAACCGGAAAGAAGATTAACAAAGTGTGAACTGGTTGTGAATAAAATTTGATTGAAATACAATTATTTGCCTATTCAAATATTTTTTTTTTTTTAAATAATATAATGTATTTTATTAATTTTATTCCATCAGTTGTAAACGTGTAGAAAAATCTGTAAAAGAATTAAGATAATTTTTAGTTTTCTGTAGATTTTTTCCATAATTTAATTATTTATTTGAAAAAAAAACTTTTGCCAATCTCATTGCAAATATTTCCTATACTTATGATTATAATCAGTAAATGAAAATCTGAAACTGACGGTCAATGTTTGACTAATTTTTATTAATTGGAAACTTTTAATCCCTTCTTCTTTTACTATTTTTTTTTAATTCTTCTCTTTAATTAAATTACTACCAACCAATATAGAAAGTTAAATAAATATCTTTTTTTTCCCGTCAAAAAACCGTTTCTAACTAATTTTATTTATTGTTGTAACTGTTCATGTTTTTAAAATTTCCAAATTAAAGCGTAAATTTCGTTTTATCTCGAAAATTTTGTTTATTTTCACGTTTCCGGGATAAAAAGGTACAAAAATATTAATATTTATGCAAAGATGGAAAAATTTGCAGCCAGCGGCAAAAATTCCTTTAGAGAATTTGCTTTTGCGCGTCGGAATGTGTTTCAAGAATGCCGGGCAGAACAACATCGAGACGAAATAAAAGACGCGCGGAGAGGCTGCATTACTCGCGGGATGTAAATTAATGAGCTGCAGGAAGTGGCGGAGGTAATAAAATAATAAGGAGGCGGCCTCAGGCACACAAATCCTGGCGGCTGCAGCTCGACACGGCAGGCATGTCGCAGCAGAATGCCAATAATTGACAGCAAATATTCAATGAGGAATTCCTCGGCAGACGCCCCTTCTCTCGAACACACGCATTGTTCGTTCGTCTCTTGCTCTCGATTATAATTATATGAAACACCTCTTCGTCAGCAGAGACCCCAAGTGCACCCTCTCTGCTATCTCATAATCATCGCGCACGTGAAAGCCACCATTAGTTAATTAAAAAAATGTGGTTTGGTGGAGTAATACTTTCCCCGATAAAATTAACAATTTACTAATAAAAAAATAATGCACCACTTTTAATCAAAATTACAAATCATTTGGTTTAAATTGAAATTTGTATTTAAAATTCATTATATTTTAGCGCTATATAAATGAAATATTAATAAGGGATGTTATTTTAATGAAGTTGCAACCTTAAGAAATTATTAAAAAGAAAAAATTTAAAATTTTCAACCAATCTTCAAACAAAATTGCAAAAGACCATGAAATAAAAAATTGAAGCAAATCTGTAAATAAGAAATATTTAAATTATGCCACAATTCATGTCGGAATTTTATTAAATTCAATTAAATATTAAAAACAAAAATTCAACGCAAATAATATTTTGTCCTTTTTTTAGAATAGAATCTAAATTTTGTAGGATTATATTTATCTTATTAAACAAAATTCAGCCTGACAATTTTTTCGGTTCAATTTAAAATAGAAAATTTTGAAACGTATTGTGAACTTTATTTATTGGTGATAGATGCAGGGGTACGTTTACTTAAATCAATACAAGTTAACAACGCATTTGGGCGATACGCATCTCTTAAATAAAAATTATTCGCCTCATAAAACGCACTTCCTGTAGATTTAATCACCGCTGTGTCGCTTGGCGTTCTTAATTAGAAAATCATTACTTGTGGCATGTTCCTTCACGCCATTGGCGGAGTAAAATGTTCATTCATTCATACACTGGACGCACGCTCGAATCGATTTCTTCAAAGAATAACAAAAAAAATGCCACATTGTGAGAATGAGAAGTGCTGCGATGGAAAGAAAAACACACGTCCGCTCTTTGGATTAAGGTCAAGTATCTCGAGTTCACCCTCTACACCTTTACTAGAATTTTTTTATTTCACTTCGCAGCGTCTGTTTGGAGAGTATTCCATATATTTTTTCTATTTGTAAATATATAATAATATTATTAATGTTTTTATCAAAGTAAACAACCTAGTTTTTAAAAATTTTTGTTTGGTTGAAAATAATAATCAAAATTTTATATATTTTCAATAAAAAAATTTAATCAATTTAATGCATTTTGATCAATTTTATATCATATTTTCACCCATCCCATGAGCCCGCCGCGCTTTCCGAGCTGACAATTAGAGGTCTCCCGCCGCCACTTTGGCTAAAACCGCCGCGCTTTTATGAAGAGCACTGCGCCGCGAAGCACAAGTGTGTCACAAGTTGCCTACCCTCCAAACTCTGCAGGCGCCCTACAAATATTTCCACCGCGAGTTAAAAAATGAAATAAAAAAGCGAGCGGTGACCCTACCAGCGGTGGCATTCGTTTTCATTTGCTTCCAGCTTTTCACGCCGCCGCTGGAAAAGGCGACTGCTTTTCTATTTCAGCTAATGCAGGCAGGGGAAAAAAGCAAGCTCTAATTTTGACTGCGTGTATTATTCATTTCAATGGTCGCGTTTTAATCATCATCAGCAGCACCCAGTCTCTCTCTCTCTTTCTCTATTTGCGTAGGGTTTGTTTTCGGGGTCGCCATGGCTACGCTGCATGGCCATTCTTACTTTGCTGTTCAGGACTAGGAATTTTTTGAGGCATCTCATTGCAGAGGAATAGAGATGGTTTGCCCTAGTGCTCTGCCAGCCAAACCGAGAGGCCTCTGTGGAAAAACGCGCGAAACTGGACGCGCTTAGCGGGAAAGCGCGAAGGAAAACCAAGAAAATAGATCAATATAATGAGGCGAGAGAGAGTAGAGATATATCCGCGGAATATACATTTCCATGGCCGAGCACGTGTTGGGCACGTGACCTTAGATGGACCCTGTTTATGGACCACGTTTGTATAGAGGATTAAGTGGCTCACGTTTTGTGTGTACAAAGGAGAAACTCGGTTTAAAATGGAAAACGTTCGTTGTTTCCGCACCGTTGTTTTTCGGGGACAATTAAACTGGTAATTGAAAATAAACATTTTGGAATATAAATATGATAGGGACACACACAGAACAGATTAATTGCAAAAAATTCTGGATGTATATTTCTGTTAAAAAGCACCTCTTGTAAGAAATTTTATCTAAAATAGTAATAAAAATAATAATAATATTAGTTAAAGAAAATAATAATTGTAAAAAATTATATAATACTTTGTATTAAAAAATAAGACTTAACATCCAGAATTTTTATGGCAGCAATTAAAAGCGCACCAAGAGTGGAAGCACCTGTTAGAAAATGCGGAGGTTCGGATTTTCGTTCCCCCCGAGTGCGAGACCGAGAATCCGAGCTCCGCACTTCAGGTGATTTCGCCCCGAATCCGACGGTTCGCCGGCCAAAGCCCCGCTCAGTATTGGGGGCCGGAGAGAGCGGGGGTGGCGGAGGCGGCACGTCGGGTGCGCCCAGGGCGTTTCAAACATACCTGCAAGTCGAAGCGCCGACATCCGTTGAAACTCGGGTTCCTGCAGCCATTTCCACATACGTCTAAAAGTTTCCCGGCCCGATTTAAGTTTCGACCACGGTTTGGGGTTGCGCAACAAATCTGAAAGAGTTCCTTGCGATCGGCATAGAACGCGTTGTGCGAAAATGGCTTGAGGGATGCTGTACCTTTTGAGTTCGGCGCTGATTCGCTGCGCCAGCTCCTTGGTGTTGATCTCCTCGATTTCGGCGGCGGCCGCCGCAGCGGCCGTCGACGCCGACGAGGAGCCGGCCGAAGAAGAGTTGCTGCCGCCGCCGCCCGTGCTGACCTTGAGGGCCAGCGACGGCGGCGCCGACACGACAACCGTGTTCGCCACGGGCGGCGACGGTGAGTGGATGGGCGAGTGATGCTGCTGCTGGTGCTGCGGCGACACGGCGCCGAGGCCGTTGAGCGCGTTGCCGCCGCCCTGCGACGACGCAAAGTTGGGACTGACCACCAAGGTCGGCGAGTGCATGGACGCCGAAGGTGGACTCAGGGTGGGCGAGTGCGGAGCACCCATGTAGCCGCCGCCGGCGGCGCCGCCGTTGGGCGACATCGACTTGTGCGTCGGCGGCGAGTGGAGGGCGCCGCCGGCGCCGCCGTTCTGTCCGTACGCGCTCTGCGGGGACAGGGGCGAGTGCTGCTGCATCTGGCAGTTGTTGGGCGACGACGAGTAGTGCGACGGCGGTGACATGCCCATCGAGGGCAGTTTGTCGTAGGGCGCGTACGCCATGCCCAGGCCGGCGAGGCCGTTGTTCTGCATCACGGTGAACGATCCGGACACGTTGGACGCCGCGTGTCCGTAGGCGAACTTGTCGCTCATGGTGCTGATGGGGGGCAGGGGCTGGAGGGGCGTCAGGGTGGCGTAGGATGAGGTGGGGCTGAAGCCCGGCGGCGACATGCGGCCGTTGACGGACGTCAGGGTCTGGTAGGTGGGCTCGGGCTGAAGCGCCCGAAAGTCGGACGCGTCAATCATGCCGGCGATGCCCGATGAGGGCGACAACTTGCCAGGACTGAGCAGCTCCTGCGAGTCGAGTTGAGAGGAGCCGTCCTCGTGCGCGGGCACGATCACCGAAAGGGTCTGCTGCTGCTCCTGTTTGGTGGAGGGTGAAAGGTCCTCGGCGGAGACTACCGAGGAGGCGCCGACCTCCTCCTGCTTGACGATTAGCGCGGGGTGGTGGATGACGAGCTGCCTGACGATATGCTGCTTGCTGGAATGGTCGGGTGGCGGAGGAGGCGAGTCGCCCGCACCTTCCGAAGACGAGGCGGCGAGTGAGCGCGACAACGACGGGCTGAGCCCGCCGCCACAACCGCCGCCGCCACCAGGCGACATCAGGTCGGCATGCGTAGAACTCGGCGACGAATCGACCGTCGTCTCCCTCGAGTGCTGCTCCATCTCGGCCACGGCGTCCATCGCTCGTCCGTCCGGCGCACCTGCACGCACACGCAACCGATCACACGCAACCCCGCCGACACTCCGCGACGCGATTGCCGAAACCAGTGGTCAAATCGGGCATAATTTTTCGGGCCGAAACACACGACAACACCGCGTTCACCCACAACTCGCTGCGGCCACCATGTTTGCGAGTGGGGCCGCGCGCGCAGCGAATCGCGCACCCGCCACTGGCGTGCCGCATGCAACCCTTCGTGTGGATTCGCGACACCCACCCCTACCGAGCGCCGAGCACGGGTGGCGAGAAAGCACGCCAGTCGCAGCTGCCAGCTGCCGCGAGAGTGAAATGGCTGGCCCCGACCCCAGCCCCCGGCCTCCGAGTCGAACGCCTCCGCCGCGACACCAGCGCCCGGTGCCGACGCCGTCGCGCCGCCTCCGGTTCGGCTTCTGCCTCGTCGACCGGCCCTCGCCGTCCGACCGACTGACACTCGCCCTACCTGGCCGTCGCGCCCTTTGTTTTGCTCGGGCACATGGCAAAAGCGTGATGCCTATTGATTCCGCGGCCACCAAAATCCGATAATTTTGATGCCTTGCTCGCAATCAATAATAATTATCATGTGCTGCTGCCCGACTCGTCGTACGTCTCAGTCGCACTCAAACCGCTGCCGAATACGCTCCCTTTCGGCCCGCCGACCCTCCGTCGATAGCCAGGTAAGCTGCAGTTGAATTAATTTTTGCCCGCCGCACTCCGCGTGTAGATACTGTGCCGCTCCACTTGTAAGCCCAACGGGAGGCCTAATCTCGGCTCCTGCAGGCGCAAGCTGTCCTTTAACATCCACCTGAAAGCAATTTATCATTAGATTTAAATTCACTTTTCATAAAACTGATCATTCAAAACCCTGAAAGATTCAGATTCCAAATAATGTTCAGAGAAAAATATTATCATGATATTTTAGTGGATTAATTTTATGGTTAAATTGGCTATTAAATTTGTTTAAAAAAAAAATTATAAGACTGATTGAAACTTAAAAAAAAATTATAAATCAAAACATAGGAAATCTTATAAAAATACACTTGCAATTGAAGAAGGAAGTGTAATAAATTTTTAATCATTTAAATAATCTTCAAAAGCATAATTTAAAAAAATTTAAACCATGAATTTTTCTTATATGAAAATTTAAAATAGCATTAGATTTATGTTTTTAACAATTCAATTTCAAATAATAAAATAAGTCTAAATTTACAGAGTAATTTATGAATGACCAGCTATTTTTATCAGTATTAATCATTAAAATTATCTCAATTTTGATATTTTTATGGTTACAGGTCCATACATGCCAAACTGGCTGTTCTTGAAGCGGCAGCGTCCAAGGAGTCTTTCCACTTGGACTTGTTGGCCGCAGCAGAACGGAGGCAGCTGGAGGCCACACTGAGAAAAAAAAGGTTTTGGGCTCTGTCAGGTCCTTCTGTAAGCCGCAGAAAAAGCAGCAGCCATGCGTTTTCGCAGGAATCACATTCGTGTGATTTTGATCTGCGGGGGAGACCTAGCGAGGAGCAGGAGGAAGTCCTTCAAAGGCTTCTTCAACTGATGCAGGTGGTTGAGCCGCCATCCATAACTCAGTGGAACGTCAAACCCGACTCGAGTGACGAATCTGAAAAAGGAAGAAGCGTAATCATTCATATGTAATTTAAAAAAAAATGGAATATGATTTTAAATCAGATGGAAAGATTATTTAAATTTAATTAAAATCATTTTCTTCAGCAATAAAACATGCAATGTTTCATAAATTTAAATAATTAATGAAAAAATATTGCCATTTTTTTTTTAGTAAATATCAATGGGGGTCCATTCAACAATTGAATCCAGAGTTTTTATTGTTTGTGGATCAATCAGAAATACATAGTAATACCATCAAACTGGTACCACTTCTGATTAGCTAAACGACAATGAAAATTACAAATCATTTCTTTCATTGTAGGTATGAGACCCCACTGGTAAAAAATATGAATAATTTGAGCTTTTATAAGTCTAGACTTATAAAAGCTCAAATGAGCTGTGATGAAAAAAAAAAATAAATAAAAAATATGCAAAAACTTCATTTATTTTATGATTCAGCGAGTAATTTAAACTTCTGCTCATTGGAAATTCTAAACTGCCATGTTCTTTTGTGTCATGCTTTTTAAAATATATTGAACGCACAAGGTGCTATTCAATGGGACTCGGTGCATATGCGCTGCCATGTTAAAGATACTGATCAGGAGCATGCGGCAGGCCAGGTGCTATTAACAATCTTGTTTGAATTGAAAATAATGGGTGTGTACCTCGCCCGTTGCGTAACCCAAGGGGGACACTGTTTGTCATGCATTTAATGCACCACCCCTTCTTATTCAGCGGGCAACTCCGAATGCCCTCGTCCCTTATTAATACCATTTATACTTGTTTGGTTAAATTTTATTTTAAAAAATGAAAAGATTTTTTTCCCAATAATCTACATTTTTAATTTTTCATCGATGACTTTATGGTATCGCCCTATAAACATCTTTTGCTTGTACCCTTAGGGGTTTTTTTTTAGTACCCGCATGAATTAAATGCACCTGACTCACACACTGCACTGCGAATGCATGACAGCATTCGCAAGTGCTTGAGTAAGACCTGCGTCAGCTTTATGCAAAACGTGCAGTCGAGCACCACTAGAGCTTGCACGCAATTTATTACACGACGCTGGTCGAGAATTGAGGTGAAATTGACCCCTTAGAATATATTACACTAAATTTTAATATATCAAAATGAATTAAATCAAATTTCAGGAACTTTTCTGAATAGAGACTTATTTAAAACAAAAAATATACGTGATTATGTAATAAAATAGCAATTAAACAAATTAAATTTATTAAAAAAATTAAATTGACATCACAAATCAAGAATTTAATTTTCTTTTTAATTTCCATTTTAATTTCGTCATAATTTCCAGAGTCAAAAGGGAGGTTTCGTCTCTTTATAAAAATCAGCCTCAAAGGTAAAATCTGGAGGCATATCTTGCCATTAGTGAGCAGCGGTGCGTGGCGTGTTTCTCTTTTGTGTTTTGCAAGCCGAGTTCGAGGCGCAGGTTCCTCGCTTCCTTTTAATAGGAAGCGAGGGTGAAGAGAAAGAGGGACTGTGTGTGCATGATTGCAGCAAGAGGGAGAGCGCACGCAGGCTGACGAGCAGGCAGGGGGATAGAAAAGCAGCTGACAAGGGGGAGCAACGGCAAGCACAGGGCAGCATTATTAATATAAAATTGTGTGCATGGCTGATATCAAATGACTTGCTCGTGCGTGTATCTATTGCAGCTATCTACCCATGCACTGGCCAGCCAGCTGGGTTGTATTGACGCGATAAAAAGCGATTTAACCCACTAACAGAGCCAACTTTATTGGTGCTACAAAACTGTGGGACTTCCAGCCTTTAAAATAAAAATAGAATTTTCATTTAAAAAATTTGAATTTTTTTATTTTCAATATCAAATATTTGAATGGCACTTATAAATTAGTCATGGTACTCTCTTCCCTTTCTCTTTTGAATGACTAGTTTTCCTTTTTCCCTGGTCACAACATGCTGGCCCGATGACGAGTGGCCGTGTTGTTGCTGGTGCTGAAGTGCAAGTGCACCTTGCAATTCTGTGAGATTCAAATGAGGAATTCCCAAGGCTGAGAAACCACCTCTTTCAACGTGATGCGATGAGGAACCAGCCCCACCACCTTTAAAAAATTTATTAATATTTTTCAGAAATTATCAAATTGATAACTTTTACCTCTTGTATGCAGCATGAGTCTTTTCTCTTCCATCTTCTTTTTCAAAACTCGGTCTCCTTTCCGAAGCTCCAGATCAAATCTAGTAGCCATGGCTGTTTTCATAGCCTCGGAACCGTGTTGTCCGCTGTCACTAATGGCCACCAGCAACTTGTGTAGTTGTTCCTGGTGGTCCATTTCTTTAGCCAAAAACTGTCTTTCCGTAGCCACCCGAGCTTCGTGCAGGTGCAAAGTAAGAGAATGGAGTTTCCAGGCCAGAATTTCACTATGTGTCTGTAGAATATTTAATTAGTGACTGTGTGAGAAAAAAATTAGTCACTTACATCCTGCTGAGCTAGTTGGGCAGCCAATTGTCTTCCTCCATCTCTCATATCAATGCATTTTTTAAAATACTTGTAAAGAAGCATTTTGGTTTCTTTCAGAGTGAGGCCAGAAAGTCGCTTTAAAAGCATTTCCTCGCTCTGTTGAAAGAGAAGGAATAAATTTGTGGATTCCAATAAATAGGCTAAACTCACCTCATCTTTTTGGTAATTACTGGCAAAATCGACTCCATTTCGGCAGATCATCTCATTTTTCAACTCGATTGTAGCATCGATTGCATCTATTGCTTCCTCCAGCTCGAAAAGCTTCCAATGCTCGCTTTTGTCCAGCTGTTTTGTCTGTTGAAGGGAAATTTAGATTTTGGAAGCTCATATGGGAACATAAACAAACTTCTTTCAGCTTTTGCCTCAGTTCAATGAGATCTGTGATGACAGCATTTTTAGTTTTCCTTAACCTAAAAATCTCCTTCCGATGCCACTGTGGGTTAGACTCGTTTTCGGGTGTGGCTGCTGGAACATCGTCCTTGTAAAATCAAAATTTATTTTAGTAACAAACCAAGTATCATTAAACCAAAACTTACCTCTTCCATATCAAACTCTTCGTTGGCCTCTAGAGTGTCAACAGATCCGTCAGTTGACAGATCTTCATCCAAAGGAATTCCACAAGATTCAGGTCTCTGTAAAAATTCAATTGATTCACACATGTTTAACTTTTATATAAAACTTACTATTTGAGGACTTGCAGTTCTCAGCATCAACTGCTCTTTCTGTAGCGCCTCCTTGACTTTTTCCTCTTTCCTCACATGCCTTTTCAACTTTTCAAGCTGCCTTCGAGAGTTAGTCAAACTTCGCTCAAGGTCAATAGCCCTGTTTAAGGTAAAATTTGTTACGACTATGCCAATTTATTTTATCTTTTTTACTTTTTAGAAGTGTTTTCAAGAAGCTTGTGAATATTTGAAATGTCCTCTAGCTGCTCATTGTAGTACTCGCAAAGAGACTTGCACTTGTCTACATTCTCATGCAGATGCCTGCTGGGAGGATTTGCAGCAGCCGCAGATTTTTCTGCCTGGGCCAACTTGGCACTGCAGTAGCTAACCATTTCCATGGCTTTTTTGTACTTGATCTCCAACTTGTGCTTCGAAGATCGTCTGAGGTCAGCATGGGCTATAAGATCCTTGAGTAGCTCTTCCTAATGTTTAAAAAGGCTAAATTTAGTCATCGTTGAAAAGTTTAAATAAAGCTGCAAAGAATACCTTAAGTTCCACAGTTTTTTGTAGATCGTCAATTCTTTTGTAAGCTGATTGCATTTCAATTATCAGTCTTTTCAGTCGATTTTGTTTAGCCTTGACTGGATCCAGATCTTTTTTGTTAATTTTGGCGTCGATGTCTGAATCTGTTAGGGGAGTGTTTCTTGTTGCTCGACTTCTAATCACAATATCTTCACACACAGTAGAAGACATCATCTTAGGAGAAAATTATAAATAATACAATTAAATAATGAAATCAAAATCTCACTTTGCCAGATTCAATTTTAGGTGGCACAAGACTGTTTCTTCTTGTTACTAATCTAGATGTACTTTCTTTCTCTTCAACATCAACACTGTCTTTGAAAAGCAAGCTAAAGTCAACTGGAAATTGATGAAAATTAATATATTTTTTTAAACCAATAAAAATTTTATTACATTTCTCTGGCTGGACTTCTTCAACTTGAATCAAGCTTGACATGGCATTTTCCACAATGGTTGAGTTGTGCATTGAACGGAATTGCTCGACGCAAGTGTGCATTCTGCATTGGAGCTCTGGAGTGCTCAACCCTCTGCCCTCTTTTTCATCGTCAGAGCCTGTTGTGGTACTTGATTTTCCTTCGAAAATGTCTCCCCTGTAGACAACCACTTCCTCGGCGTCAGAACTGTCACTGTTCTGGCTCCTGACTTTGCTGGTGGGCGCTTTGTTGTTATTGTTTGCTTCTGCTTTTGTTTCGTCCTCGCTGGTTCTATTCTCGGAAATGTCACTCAGTCCTTAGAAATACACAAATTCTTTAATAATCCAGTTAAAAATTTTATAAACTAACCTAATGCGTCCAGAGACTTTTGCAAGAGTTTGCTCAGACTCTCAGTTTGCTGGCTCTCGGCAATTTCCTCGCATTCCTGCTTCAGACACAGCCACCTCTGAATTTGCTCAACTTCTTGTCTTGAAATAGATTTACCTTCGGATAAATTTTGAAAAAGTTCTTCTGCGTCAGTGAGTAAATTTCTCCACTGACCCATCACAAATTCAATCCTGCAAAAATTTCAAAATCAGATCAGCATTGAGAATCGTACAAAAATTAAATAATACCCAAAAATATTCTCAGACAGTTCCTTCACACTGCTTCCGTTAACATTCCGAGTTCCATTTTCGTCACAAGCAGTGTTCAGTTTTCTAACAAAAGTGTTCATAGTAGGTCTGTTCCTGACAGCTTTTACAATTTCTCCGAAGTTGAGAGTGGCCAAAGTGTCGGAAGTGTCAGAAGCTAATGGAGAAACGCAGCACAGAAATGTTGTGATTGCCCTTCCACCTAGCGAAGTCTGCAGAAATAAGGTTAATTAAATTCTAAAATATCTGAAATTTAAATTATGCTTACCTTTAATAAATGTGTGAGCTTAGATTCCCTGTATGGAAGATATTCATAGTTCTTTTGAGTGGCCAGGGAGTGAACGAGGTTGTTGAAAGCAGCAAGGCTGGTGTCTAACCGGACACTTCCTTCCGAGCACAGCCTTTCCTGGCCAGCCAGGTCAACAAACATAACCTGGGACACCTTCTGCAGAATTGAATCGTCGCCTAAAATTCATCACTTAATAGAAACAATGGCAATTTTTTAATTCAATAATATTACTTGATGGAATAAGTTGGTCGATGACAAGGGTGAAGATTGTGTGCGAATTATCATCGGGGTGCTTGTTGCCTAACCCTGTCATCATACAACTCAAAACCTCACCAGTGTTTTGGCACTCCAAGTACTCAGTTCCTTCAACTTTTACTCCCATCTGCAGATAAAATTGTTACTAATTTTGATAAAAAAGAAATAATAGTTCATTGGCACTTACGCAGGGATCTTCTTGGACATGTAAGTTAGTGGATTCAGGGTTGAGCAAATCTCTTAATACTTCTTGGTAAATCTCCACAAATGACACATAGATCTTGATCTTCCTATTTGGAAAATTCTGCAAAAAGTAATCAAGTTATTTTAAATTCAATGACATGAAAGTTGGGGGGAAATTAAATTTTTAGGTAGATCTTAAACCTCGTAAATTTAGTTTATAATTACAATTTGTTCTTGTGAGATTTTGAGAACCTGGCAAAAAGCATACCTTCATTCTGCTGAAAATTTCTCTGGTAGTCCTCGGAAGCATTCCATATTCAGTCTCACTCAAAGCGCAATGCATTCCAGGTCCAAGCACCGTGTAACTTTTTCCTGAATCTACTTGGCCGTAGGCAATCATCGTAACGTCGTACCCTAAAATTTTGGGAATTAAAAAAAGCTCAAAAGGGAAAGGTTTGTCAGGAAACAACCTTCAAGGACGTATTGAATGAGCGGCTCGACTGTTTGCTGGAACATCTGGTGCTGCGAGTGTTCCATAGGAATGACATAGTCAAACTGGAAGGACCTGACGTTGTTGACGGTGATGACATCAGGGTAAGGCCCTGTCGTGATGTTGATGTGATCGTCCGGCAACAGACCATCACTCGGAGGAGGCCTCACCTTCAAATTCCACCAAAATTCTTTAAAACTTTTCGATAAGTTTGAAGAAAAAACTCACCCTAGAGGCGACAGTAACGCTCACTTCCATCGCGGAACGTTTTAATGTCCTAATTCGGCATTACGGAAACAAAATGTGCAAAATTAAAATGAGATTCAGATCAAAACAAACGGTGCGAATCAACAGATGCTGGAAATAAATCATTTCTTAAAAATGGCGCCCTGCTATTTTTTGGTTGTTTTAGTTCTTCAAGGGCACGTCATGGCGCGGCAGTCGCACCGGCGCGAATGTATGCGAAGGTGTGTGACGTGTGTGTGAAGCGAAAGGGTTACACAAAAATAAAAAATAAAGAGGCATTATAATTTAAAAAATAAAACAGAGGCTCCCAGAGATGGATAGGGTCTTTTTGAAATAGAAAGTTAAAGAAAAATCTTTGTGACTGCTGGTGGTAATTTTTAAAAAAAATCAATATTTCCCTCACAGCAACTTTTTTTTATAATACGCAATAATAAGTATTTTTTTTTTTTTAAACAATTACAAATAAAAACAGTAAGCTTCATTCCATGATTAATAAAAGTACGATATGAAATTTAATACATAGATTTTAAGTATGAACGCATATTTACCATTAGCTATAAAGCATACAAATTGGTTATAAATTTTTTTTTAAGATATATTAAACAATTTTGCAGATATTTTAATTCTTAATGACATGAAGCAATAGAGCGATGGAAAATATTAATAGATTTCCCATCGGTTTATAAAATTATACATTATATAAAAATTTATTGACTTTGAAACTTTCTGATTAATGTTTAATATACATTAAAGATTTTGTGTATTGACTTGATGCAGTAAAGATGTTGTGTAATTCATTGTATTTGAATAGAGGAAAAATAAATAAATGGGATGATTGTTTTTAATTCCTGCAACATTACAGGTAGGTCTACAGAATTTTTTTTTGATAAAAGTGCGTGTTTTTCAACTTTTTTTCTTATTTGATAGTGAATGAAAACAAAAAGTACAATATTTAAATTTTTCTTTCTATGAAGAAGTCAATAATCATTACATGGTAAAATTTGCAAAATTACCACTAAAAATTTTCAGTTATGAGGCCACGCCATAGCCATGCCATGGCCACGCTTATGATCCTGAATAAATTAAATCCAATTTATATGGTATTGTCTATATAGCTCATGAAAATGAGCCGGAAACCCAACCATCTTAATTTATGATTCCTCAGACAGATTCGGACAGCAGAGACGCTTTTGTAATTTCATTATATATTTGAATTCCTCTCGGCGTGGCACATGAGCGGCAGCAGCTCGACCAGAAGGCTCTCAAAATAGCCTGCGAGAATCAGCTTCTGAACGCAGCCTCCCCAAAATTCACCCTAAAATCACTCACAAATTGTTGATGGAAAACAATATTGAAAATATTTTAACATGGCAACACCACGAAATTCGATTGTCGGTGGTTTGATGTGATTAAAAATTGAAAAAGGGGTGTTTTGATTTTGGAGACGGAGATCAGTTTGAACTTGACGAAAGCTTTTGAAGAAGGATTGGAGTGGTTTTGAGTCAGTGATCGCTGGTACGAGCTATGGTGTGCACCGTGTGCCTTTGCTAAGGCTGTGGATTAAGTTGTAACATTTTAATGTGTTTGGAAAACATAAAAGTGCATCAGTTATTTGAGTTTGTTTAAACTTTGAAAAGTGAATTGAAAAAGGAAGGGAGTGAGAAAAGTCTAAAAAGAGGATTAAGTTGATATATTGGAAGCAGAGAAACCAAAAAGGAGATACAGGTAATTACAAGTGTTATAAATTCAACTTCAAATTAAAAAAAAAAAAAAATAAGAAAATATGAAGGAAAATTCAATTAAAAAAAATGCTCAATTTTTACACATCCATTTAAAATTTGTAATTAATTTTATTTAATTCTTCAATCGTCAATTTCAAATTTCATTTGAATATAATTTTGTGTATATTATTTAAAAACTATTCTAATGTGTGTTGAATTGAAATAAACAGACAATGAATTTCACAGCCGAGCTGAGCTTTACGTTGGCTTAAGAATTTTATTGCGCTCATCAAACTGAAGCATGGGGTGCGTCTGCTCTGCTTTATTTTATTATTTTCTTTGTCCGCCCTGCTCCCGCACTAATAACGAGCAAAAATATATTCGAAGGGCGTGGTACAATAAAGGAGTGTGTTGAAGCAACTAATAAACGCTTAATCGGTATTTATTGGCCAATTTGTGCAGCGCTTTTACTCCCCTTCTCAAAACAAAAATAAAGGCAAGCAGTTATTAAAGGTATAGCGTCTTAGAAACTACTTATTTGACCAAAAGTTGAACAAATTAAAATCATTAATAATTTGATTTAAAGATATTTGCTATTATTTGTGTTAAGAATTGAACAATAATATGAATCAATAAACTAAAATGAAAGAAAAAAAATAATTTTTTTAATAACCAGATTAAATATTAATTTTTTTTTTTAATTAACTTTATATTTTAACAATGAATAATTTGATCCAACATTCAATTTGGTCTGGAGGCAATTTACTAAATTAAACGTGCAAATTAATATTAATTTCTCAGATAACAACATAGGAAATTAAATTAACTTGCGGAAAATCAATGGCGTTCAGTGTCGGTTTGTTTGGGGTCTGGGTTCCTTCCTGACTTTGTGTGTACGCGCGCGAGTAAAAATTAAAATAAATAGCCCGCGGCGGCAAAGGTGCAGAGAAGTGGGTCAGTAGGTGGGGATCTGACAGAGCGAGCAAGCAGGCCTACCGCCGATTATCGACTTTTATGCACTGACATAGACGCCGCTAGTTTTTGACGGCGCCATCGATTGCCTAAAATATAAGAAATATTTTCTTTGGAGCAGACCAGCTTGGTTGGTTTTCCAATCATTGGAATATCTCATATTTTTCCTTATAATGTGGATGTTTTTGAACTTCTCATCTGCTTCATTCCATATTATAAAACAAAGAAGTTAATACCCTCAAAAATAAATTACAAAAGTTATTAAAAAATAAATCATAAAAATAAAAAATCAACCAATTCTCAAGTAGAGAGGAATTCAAAGTTTCTCTCCATGCTATTTAATAACAAAATTTATCAAGCTTTGATTAAAAAAGAAATTAAAAAAAAAAATAATATTAGAAGAAAAAATTGAGAAAAAAACTAAAATATTTAAATTAGCTTCACTAGACTCATCATTGTTAAAAACCTGCTGGTCGGCAGCAGGTGTGAAGGAAATGGGAAAAATGTATTTGTAAATAATCGTATGGGACCATCTCTCCATATGCATCTCTCATCCGTTAAGAATAAGTTTTAGAAACAACGGCACAGTGTGGTGAGTCCCGGCTTGGTGTTTGTCCATTGAGACAACATCAGATAAAAAGCGGCTAATTAACACGCGGGAAACTATTGAATCTCGTCTTCATCAAGCTTATTATTTACCTTCCTTTCTTCTCCAAAGAGAGAAAGAGAGATGCTATAGCTCAAGATGTGCCGATAATAATAGGAGGAGAAATTTTATGGAAATTAATGAAGTGCGGTGTATTTATTGTGTTCTTTGTTGTACATGAGGACCCAGGAGGGCCTTATTGCGCCGTTTTATGTCGTGCTCTTTGTTTAGAAATGACAATAGAGAGTTTCTAATTATAGATGGAAAACAAAGAAAAAAACCACCAGTATATTTGGAGTTTTGAAAACTTCTGCAGTTTATAGATCTAGGGGCAGATCAAAGTTTATTATTTTTAAAATTCTGACAGAGTTTATTAAATAGGAACGAAACGAAAGAAAGGTGAAAATAATTCAAGGTGTTTCCGATTGATTTTATTTTTAGAGTAAAAAAATTCATTTGGCTTTAAAGAATTGAGATTTATAATTACAGGGTATTAATTTTGGCATTTTAATTAGATTTCTTGCTCATTCTAAGAGTTCAAATTCTGCGTTAAATTTCTTTTTGAAAAAAACTATTATTACTGTTATTGCTGTTGCAGCTTATTTGTCCACATTGGCAATATTTTGGCTAGCTAAATAACTAATCTATTCTGTATAAAAGAGCAAGTTTTAAATTATGAGATTTCAAATTTTTGCGGAAAGAACGTTTGCTTAAAAAATTGAGACCTTTTTAACTAAATATTTTTCTAGGCAGGCGCTGTAAAATTTTTGAAAAGCATAAAAAAACATCTCATCCCTCATCCCCTTGTCTGTTATGAACAAATTTTCTGGCGCCACTTCTACAGGGAGCAGACAGATAAAATTTCTCAATTTAGGACAAAATAAGCCCGATTACCACACTAGGGGCTAAAAACGCTACTCAAATCACTCAAATAGTGCGTAGATCGTATCACGCAGGTCCGCATCTTTCAGCTACCTGACCTGCAGCAGGTACGAGAAGGTGGAAAAAAGAAAGAGCGTCTTTAGGGGGTTGCGAAGATGGATCGGACTAAGTTTTGGAGTGATAAAAAAACGAGAGGGGAAGAAGCAAGCGAGCCAAGGTGTATTTTTATAAAAATACACACGCAGGCAGGCAGGCGCGGCGGCCGCGCGCTGCGCTACCAAGAAGAAACCCATCCATTCCCCTACGCTATTCAGTCAGTCAGTGGCACATACAAGAAAAGCACCAGTCGATATAATAGGGAAGGGGCACACAACAAAACACACGAAACGCCTGCTGCCTCATTTTTAGTTGCGACGCCGAGCGAGCCACACTACCAAATGGATTGATTCCGATCTGAAAACGTGTTTATTCTTTTGGCCACAAGACCCACGTGGATTGTGTGAGGATTAATTCAATCATCATGTACCTCATGCAGGTAAATTGTTTTTTTTCCATTTTTAATAAATTCCAAATAAACAACGCAGCCGAGAAATTATAAAGCTAAGGTCGTGCGTCGGAAGTCGAATAATTAATTGTCGGTGTATAATTTTTATTTTGAGAATTGCTGGGAACTTCCGTCAGAATAAGGTATTACGTTTTTTAATACACCTCTGACAATGGGTCTCAATGTCAATAAAAAAAAAAAACTTTAAAAGGGAAAATTTGGTTTTTACTTAAAATTTAGGACTGCCAAAATATTCATTCTCGAAAGACCTGAAAATTTCCGTTTTGCGTTTAAAAATTGTAAACTGTATTTGAGCTATGATATTAAGGCAGTTGTTCCTTTGATTCTCTCTGAGATTTCTCATTTCTTGTCGTGCCAACAGTAATTTGTAGTGACCAATTAAATTGTAAAATAAAGAGACAGGAGCAAGGTTGTAAAGCAATTTCAGCAATAAGAGAAAACTCATGCTGGGAAATAAATTTTGAATCGATTTTCCAATATATAGATTTCTCGTTCAAGGTTCTCAAAAAATAAATAATTGAGTGAAGTAACGCCACTCCCGAGACAGAAGCTGTCTATTTTTTTGCATTTGTTAAGCCGATTATTATTTTTTTTTTGTCAGCATTCATAAAATATATTATTCCAACCGGCTCTGTGAGAAATTATCATTTTCCCATTCAGAAAATCCAAGAGAGCAGCAGCTGTGCTCAAAGGCGTGAATATTCCAATCGCGATTATTTTCGCCTCCAGCAGGACGACATGCAAATTTCCTTTTACTCCAGTCTGTGGCCCGAGGGGATCAGAGAAAATCTGGTTCATCACAAATACATGCAAGTCTGCTTGAATTATAATTCATTTCATTTGTACGTGGCCACTTGAGACACTCGGTGCGTGTTTTTGCACCAACGTCTATGTTAATTTTGCTGCTCGCAACCCTTTGAGAGGAAATAATATAATTTATTATTTATATTGCACGCATATTCCATACTTCTCCTCTCCAAGATTGTAAGAAGTCCAAGTGGCTTTCTCGCAGGGGGAGAGGCCCAGCTGGAAAACCCAGCCAGGTATTTATTGACGAGGGTTGCTTGTCAAGCTTTATTGCAAAATGCTGTCCAACAGGTAGGGGTGCAGCAATATTTTTTATTATTCTTTTGCTCTCTGGAAGCTCTAAAGAGATTAGAACGGAGGGGATAACGGCTGATTTGAAAAATATTTTTACTGCCGAGCAATGTGGTCGCTGCTTATTGACCTTTGGGGCACATGAGGTCATAGCGTGATTTGCGATTAAAGTGCACACACTACTGTTGGTCAATTTCACGTTGCTATGGAGTGAAAAAATATATGAAAAATTTCCATGACCCGAATTTTGTCGCTTTTAAGATGTTCCGAGAAAAGCCGCAGACACGAGTACTTTATCGTCCTAATCGAGAGAGACACTCCTCTTGAAAAGCACATGCAGGAAACACTTTTTATGGTATTAACCTTTCTCAAGCCGAGATTCACTGCTTCCCTCCTCTCATTGAAATAAAGGCTTATGCTTTTGAGACGAATACGTGGGGTGCATCTATCTCTCTCTTTTTTTTATTTATTTGACGATAAACAAAAAGAGCTTGGCGTGTACTTTGTATTTGTACGGAGATAGAAAAGAACTTCTCAAAAGTCGGAAACTTATCGCCCCTTTTTGGAAGGTGTGCGCCGGCCTTCCTTCTTGAATTTTAATATTTTCCACCTTGGACGGCGCGCCTGCTTCATTTTTATTCACCTTCGCTTGTGGCGGGCAGGTGCACTTTAACACGGTGCACCTTACAACACTTTCCTTTTGTATGCTATTATAATGCGTCTGACGCGATCTCGCCTCTCAAAAAAGCGAAACAAGGCGCACCTCTTCGTGTTAAAGAGAGGAAGATTTTGATACTATGAAATTATTCAAACCCTGTAATATATCTAACAGAAAAAAAAA